TGTGCTCTCCACTGCTGTCATTATAGCATCACACAATGTATCAAATGTTTGAAGTCCACCAAGCATGGTAGTGCATGCATACAGTCCCAGGACCAGAGAAGTTAAAGCAGAAAGATCACAAGTTTGAGAATGGCATGGGCTTCATAAGCAAGGTCTAGGCTAGCCTTTATTACATAGCAAGGCTTTGTCTTGCAAAACTTTAAAATAAAGTAAAACTTTACTGTACATTTATTGAGTCTTCTCTCCATTTGATTGTGAGTTTTTAGAAAAAGAGATGCTGTGATCTTTCACATTTACTTCTAAGGCCTAGAGTACAACCTTCAGCAAAATAGGCATGTGACTAGCATGTGCCAAGTGAGTCAACAGCTTATTTGTGTTTAATTCATACAGAACACTGACTATAACCACAATGTACATGTTACCTGAATGCTGCCTGCTAATTTTTGATGCCTTCAAACCCTGAGACCCTACCCAGGGTTTGGTTTCATTTCAACACAGAAATAAATTTTACAGAGTGAAAGATGAGGAAGGGAAGAAATCTGTGTGCTCAGTCCTGGCTCTCCCCTAACTGGGTAAGTTCCCATGTTAGATATGATGACTTCCTGAAACCATTTTCCTAACCTGAAAGAGCTTATTTCTACTCCAAAGATCTTACAAGTTCAAAAACAAGGTCTTCATATTTTAGGCAAAATACCAGCTTTGATGTTAAGTGTAAGTATCTATTTTTTATCTCCTAGGCTATAACAGAAGTATTATGATAATAGCTGTATAAAATAAAGACACAGTGTTTGAACCACAAAGCATCATCACAATATTCTAAGGGAAGGTAACCCAAATGAAGAAAATACATGGCTTATGTCCTGTGGTTATGGCAGTGACTTGGTACTCAGACCACTTTGTATTCATGCCAAATGCTGAAGGATAGGCTCAGAGTCCACACATTAATCTGCACTCCATTCGTTACTGTCCATCCATTAATCAGAGTCACGTGGGTCTCAGAAAAATGGACAAATTACATCGAAGGCCATCAAAATATAATCAACCACAGTCCCTCAGATTTGGGTATATGTCATTGCAAGGTCACTTCTTACTCTAAGCTGTGACAATAAGCACCATATTCCCTAGTTTAATTGCCTCTAAGTCTAAGCTTACAAGATCCTATATATGAAGACTATGCAGTGTCAGTTTTTAATCAAATTCAAACTGATAGGGACTTCCTCCTGTCAAATAACTGGGTAGTTATTCCATCTATATTTTGGAGGCACATGTCATAGTTCTAAAAGTAGCCCAGCCATACTCCAAGAGGTCTGCTTAATAGAAGTTCAGAAAATATCTGCAATTGGGCTTGAGAGCGTTGCAGATCTGATCTGATGACTATATGTGATGACCATGTATGCTGGATATATTTATGTCAACTTGACACAAAGTAAAGTCATCTGAGAGGCGGGAACCCAACTAAAGTGATGCCTCTGTAAAATCAGGCTGTAGGCAATCCTGTAGTACATTTTCTTAATTAGTTATTGATGTGACAGGGCCCAATCCATTGTGTGTTCTGCCATCCCTGGACTGAGGGTTCTGGGTTCTATAAGAAAACAGGCTGAGCAAGCCATAGGAAGCAAGCCAGTAAACAGTACCCCTCCATGGCCTTTGCATCAGCTCCTACCTCCAGGTTCCTGCCCTGCTTGAATTCCTGCCCCCACTATTTTTGATAATGAACTATGATATAGAACTCTGAATACAATAAACCCTCTCCTCCCCATATTATTCTGGTCACGGTGTTTCATCAAGCAACAGTAACCATAAGACACCTTGGCACAAGAGTGTGCTTGATACATTTATGAACTGGAAATAGTATGGTGAAGGTAGAGAGGAGAAAGAGATGCCCAAAGGTGAAATAGGAGCCATGGACAGGGGTTTTATGGACCAAGGTAAATTGTTTGGATTTTAAAACAGACATGGCAACACACCTATGTAATCCCAGCCCTCTGGGAAGTGAGGTTGGATTACAAACCCAGTTCAAGGACAGTCTACAAAACATAGTAAGACCTACTCTAATAACTAATAACAATAATAATTAATAGGGATAAAGTGTTCTTTTTTCCTAGTACTGTTTGATGGAGTACCACTGAGGAGTTCTAAAGATGTGTGGGTTTTACTATGTGGCTCAGGCTAGCCTTAAACTAGTGAACTCCCTATTTTAGTGTCCCTAATGCCATGATTACAGGATTAGAGGTATGTGCAGCAGATCTGGCTCTGACCTACTGCTCCTTAAGCTTCTTTTTCCTGAAGGACTAAGCAGGTAAGCCGGAACGGCACCTCTCAGAAATTTTTAAATAAAATAAGGACACCCGCTGTCTTGTTTGCTTTCTTTCTTACACTTGTTAAATATTTTATTCCCCAGCTTTGCTTAGATGCAAAGGTCAATTTTAATTTATTTATTATTGGTTTTCTTTTCTGAAGACTGAAATAAGATCAGGGGTCATTTGCAATAAGTCATGACTGTCACTCTGTGATCCTGGAACGCAAAGGAAAAGATTATTCGAATTTTCCCTGCCTCAGCTTGTTAATAATGATTAGCATTCTGATTTGGAATAGCTGGAGGTAGAGGTTAGATAGTGCATTAGGGTTTGTGAACAGCTGATTTTTTAATAGATTTTTTTGGAAATTAAGTTTACTGATAAAAACATGTCTTGCGTATCATTGCAATATTTTCGCACAAATGAACATCCATGGTTATTTACTCAACATTATAATTTCATATATATTTAGTATCTGGTCCCATAATTTAGCCTAGGTAAAACCTTATCCATTTATTAACACCATGCTCTAACCAACCAACTAATCTCATCCGTTTAAGTGAAGATTTTTTGTTTTTGTTTTTGTTTTTCGAGACAGGGTTTCTCTGTATTGCTTTGGAGGTTGTCCTGGAACTCACTCTCTAGATCAGGCTGGTCTCAAACTCACAGAGATCTGCCTGCCTCTTCCTCCCGAGTACTGGGATTAAAGGCATGTGCCACCAATGCCCGGCTGAAGATTTTTAATAAGGATTGAAGCATGGTTTTAGAAAATTCAGTAGAACTTAATACATTTACATATATTTATGCATGCATAGATGTTAGAAGAATATGGATATACTTACTATACCTTCCAATTCCATAGTGTTAAAGTCATTATATTTCAAGTTCAAGACAAGTTATCAAAAAAATTAGAGTTATCAAAACAGTGACATCACTACTTTCTTAAAGGCTTTTGTGTATATTTTCCATTGACAGAAATTGAGGGTGATTTTCCTCTACTTCAAAGCCAGTCAAGTTTTTCTAGACAGAATTTAAGTAACATGGAGTGTGAAAAATCACCCTGGAATCAGCTCTATTCCATGCTGATTCCAACGTGCCTGCATACACACATACACATACTCATAGGGAACTCCTAACCAAAACCCCTAAGGTGGAAGGTTCCCAGATAGAGATAACCCAGTGTGTGCTTCAGGATCACCATTGTTGTGTTTCTGTAGAACCACCTTGCCCCCTTCCATTCTGAACTCCCCACAGTTATGTTCAACTAGCTTCTGCTACCTCCCTGAAAGGTGACACACAATCAAGAAGTGAGACATGGAGGGAGAGAGAGGAGAGAGAGAGAGAGACAGAGACAGAGACAGAGAGAGACAGAGAGAGACAGAGAGACAGAGAGACAGAGAGAGAGAGAATAAAGTAAAAGCCTTTTATTATCAAGTTGTTTAAGTATTCTAGTGTGAGTATGAGGGTGGTTTTAAAAGGACTGGTACTAGAGATTAAGTAGAAAAATAATGCCTCGTGAGTCAGTGAGACAAATACCTACACAGATGTAAGAAACTATCTTAGACAAGTGTTACCTTTTTAAAAAATTTAATTTGCAGTGATTATGGGTGTTGTCCACTCTTCACAGCTAGTAAGTTTCTTGCACTTATTCTCCTTGAAAGAAGGAACTTGAGACTTATCATATAAATACTATTTTAAACAAAAAATTACAGAGCATTTCAAATTGCTTAAGTCACATTTCTATTTAATACTGAGAATATTTAAATGAAGATGAGCTAAAAGGTTTGGTAGCTATGGCAACATGATGTGAAAATATACCATGTCATTCAAGTCTATTAGGAAAAAGAATTATCATTCCAAAGGTTTTTGTTGTACTTTGAATACTGACTGCAAAGGAAGAAAAATAGAAAGGAAAAGGGACTTGAAGGGTATGGAATATATTTAATACTTATTAGGAAAATACTGGCTTGAAAATAATGAGATCTAAATTCTAAATCTATTTAACTAAAACCAAAATTGATGTTAGGATCAAGAATATGAGAAAGAAACAGAAAAACAAATTGCTTCTTTACAAAAATGTGTTGAATTTAATTCTTGTAAGAGTCTAGGAATAGAGAGAAATATCAGAATGTCTTTATCATTTAAATGAATTGCTTTTAAAGCACATAATTTGTGATAGTGATCAAGAAACAAAATCCCTAAATCACAGATTTACACAACCAAGTTACGTAAGGCACATAGACTCAAAATGGAAACCATCCAAATTATATTCATTAAAATCCAGGCTAACATTATGAAATCTATTCTTAACTTCTTTCTTTGCCAACAACCATATCTAGCTGTGTATTTTTCCTTAAAAATAGAATAACACTATACATATTTGGCAGTGAATTACATGTTTAAGAACCACACTTTGTTTTTGTTTGGGGGGTTGCATTATTTTATTATTCCTTAAGGTTTAGGGGTTTGTTTGTTTGTTTTGTTGTTGTAGTTTCGGTTTGGTTTGGGTTGTTTTATTTTATTTTATTTTTTGCTGTGATGTGATTTAAATTTTTTTAATTTAAAAAGTTACTTTTCACTTTACATACCAGCCCCATTTCCCACTCCTTCCCCTTTTCCTGCCTGCACCTGCCTGCTTCCCACCCCCATCCACTTGTCAGAGCGCTTAAGGCCTTCCTTGGGGATCAAAATAGTCTGACATACCAAGTTGAGAAGAGCCTCACTTGATCAGAAGCACTTGGTCATAGTGTCAGTTCCAGGCCTGATTTCCAAAGATGTGTTCTGTGATTCATCAAAGCTCAAGTCTCCTGCATGAAGCAAACAAACACAGGCATAAAAGCCCTATAGCAAACTGTGTCTTTAGGCAAAGAAGATACTGTACTGCTGGGAAGGGTACTCAGTGTATCTTGCAGACCTGACAAAACAGAGTTCTCAAGCAAAGCTGGTAAAAGAGCTAAGGTTAAAGTGCAAATTAAGACAAATGAGAGCAATGGATTTATGGTCTCAAAAAGAACAGAAAATACAGAGAATAACAGAACAAAAAAAAATTGGATCTGAAGATATATATTAAGATTCTACATCAACAATAGCCAAAAGAATGGAGGGGACAGAGTGGGGAAATTAATCAGCTTAAAACAGAACAATAGAAAATGTTCAATGTGAGCATAAAAGAAACTAAATGAAAGGAAGACAGAGAAAGAAAGGAAAAGGGAGTAAATTGCAAGGGGAGGGAAAGTGGAGGCAGAAAGACTGAGAGAGAGAGAGAGAAATGGAGGACTTAGCTCGAGAATCTGTAAGATTACGAGAAAACAGGTAGCACTCTTATCATCAGATTCATAGAAGGAGAGAATAAGGAAAATGGTCCTTAAAAAGTATTAGAAAAATGATGGCTGAAACTTCCCCCAATTGACCAAAAGGCCACAAAGGTATAAATTCAAAACTGCAGACCAAAATATTAAATAAGGTAAGCCCAAGCAAAGCATCACAAGAGGCTCTCTAGTCAAACTTCCCCCCTAGAAACACAAGATTATTGGAAGCAACAAGAGAAAAATGATGTAATATTTGGAAAAAGAATATGAATGACATGAAAATTTTCATCTAAAACCCAGAGTACGTAATGCTGTCTACCCCCTTCATTGAGAGGTCCCTCCTGCCCCTTGGTCCCATACTAGTTATCTAACCTCCATGGGTAAAGAATAAAAGCCAGCATTCACACAAGAGGAAGCATTTAATGTTTATCTTTCTGAGTCTGGGTTACCTCTCTGAGGAGAACCAAACATATTTTTAATTAACAAACTAAAACTCTATATTTGTAGATATACATACATACATATATAATTTGTATGTATACTCATACATATAGACACACAAGTACATTCACTCACATACTCATTGAATAAAAAGAGTATTAAAACATCTTCACATGAAGAAAAATTAAAGTATATTTTTCATCAGCATTTACCCTAAAAGAATTGCTATGGTAGTTTTCCTAAGTAGAAATATTGCAATAGTAGGATGTTGGAGCATCATCAGGGAAGGAAGAACATGGAAAGAAATATATGTCTACAATATAATACACTTCCCTTGCCTTCTTGAGTCCCCACTAAGATATATGTATATGATTGCTTACTTTGTACTTGTACTTGTAGGCTTTGAAAGATTCAGAGAGTCATTGGAAGAGCTGGAGCGGAGAAGTAAGTTGATCTAGCCTGAAATTTGTGAGGGTCATGCCAGTAGCTCTCAGGACTCAGAAACAAAGAGGCTGGGCTATAACTCAGAGTGAGACGACAGAACCTAGAGCAGGGCATCTGTGGAGAAAGTGTGAGGAATATTTATTTTCTGGATGTGCCTTGATGACACTGTGGAGGATTCACTACTGAACTATTCAGATGAGAAGAGATTTCCTGAAGGATGGGAGCTTTAGTTTCAATAAACACAAAACAAAGATTTGAATCCACTGACGTGGAAAAACTCTAGTGGGATAGAAATGGGGAGGAAAGGATGAGTTTAGCAAGTCAATGAGAAATGATATTTACAACATTTACATCATGTCATTATCTTCATCTTATGTGCAGACATCCATAAAGCCACAGTTATGTGTTTGCAAAGTAATGCCACCCTCAAAAATGTGATATTTTGAAAAATACGCCATTATGTACGTTTTGAGACATATATTAACCATCTTTCAATACCAGAGAAAAGAGCAATTTAAAAAATGTCAAGAAATCATATTTAAAATTTGACAAATGATTATTTTAATATATAGGTGTTAAATCCAATTAGAGAGACATTGGTTACTCCCAAAGTATATGTGCCACTACTGCAACCCTAGGGTCATTGCCATGCTGTTTTTGTTGTGTTCATGGCATCATAGCTAGATAGGACTGCTGGTTGCTTTTCTCCTTTGGAAGCTTGAATGACACTTTCTGGTGCTATGGACTCTAGTGCTCTTTAGAAGACTTTTAGGTAGGTCCAGCTGAGGGACCTCTATTCCTTGTTTCTGAAATGCGTAGTATTTTAGCCATAAAAAAACTGGGACTGGAAACCTAATCAGACATCCGAGGCTAGTGTGATCCTGGATCATGAAGGAGAACCTACAAAATGGTCACTTGCTAAACTAGCATAAACGCTAACTATATTTTAACTGTTTGAGAATGTAAGACCCTCAGATAAATGTAGTCCCTACCCCTCATCAAGGAAACTTGTCTTTGCAACACATGGATACCATTACAGATAATAGCAACCAATCAAAATACAGAGCCGTGGAGTCCAGTCACAATGGATACAACTGCAAAACAACTCCTCAGCTAAGGCTCAGCTCACATTGCAAGCCAAGAGACAGAAAGAATATAAGAGCCAGAGGATCAGGGAGATTCCTGTGAGACTGTGATTCCTACTGATGTCAGAAGCTGTAGCCATAAAGTCTCACCAACATGACTGCCTAAACATGATTGACAAGGGCAATAGCAATAGACATGCTCAGGTGGACTTGGGAAAGCCCACAGGCACGAACCCTACACAAAGAACTACAGACAACTATGGAATATGGACAGTGAGAGAAATAATCTTCCTTAGGGGAGAGCACACCAACTGGGTATGCAATACCAAATGGTCAGCCCTGAAAACATACATACAAGTTAACATTATACACACTGAACATGTTGTATTTAATAATACAGATAAATATAATAACAATGAAAAAGTAGCTATGCAAGTGAGTAAGGAGGGACATGGAAGGGTGTAAAGAAAGGGAGAAATAATATACGATCTAAAACAAAATAAATAATAAAAAATTTTAAAACATAGGTATTACAAAATTAAGCAAAGGCAACTATAAAAATGAATGAAAAGCATAACCAAATTTTCAAAGGAAACACTCAAAAATAGTTACAATAAACTATCCAACACTTGAGATTGCCTACAGAATAAATTATTTTTTAAAAAACACTGAATAGTATAGGAAAATGGCCAGTAATTTGTATGCTTCTGAAAAGTGAAATCTTCTAGACCAAGGCTGCTATTAATGAATTTTGAATATATTGTAGAGAAATCTTTCTAGTTCTAACCAAAAAAATATCTTTCTCAGTGTAAAAGGGTTAGGTGACAAGTGAAAACACTACATAAACCTACTCTAAACTTCTTCCTGTCCCTCCTTATTGTTCTATAATTCTAACTTATTAGCATCTTTGAAGATCATTTGTTAGCAAGGCTTTGCCATTTGTAGGAGCTGCAGTGTTTTTGAGTGAAAATTGAAATTTGTGTTTCAAAAAATATCCTCTGAATTTATCTTACTTTTGTTTTATCACTAACAGATGGCAAGCTTACTTTTCAGAGTCATTGAACTAAAACAGGAATTAACTGTACAATAGAGAAGCTCTGACCCAATGATTTCCATAGTTCTTTTCCTTCTATAGATTATTTTCATGTAGAAGAATGCAGTCTAGGCAGACACACCTTCTCCATATGAAGTTTTAACGAGTTTCTAACTATGGCTGAATCATAAGATATACATGACTAAAATTCATAGTTTAATCTTGAGTAAGAGTAAGAATATAAATAAAGGGCTGAAGGTGTAACTCAGTAGTAGCGGACTTGCCTGGCAATTCCTCCCTGTAATCCCAGCATTTCAGAGGTTGATATAGGAGGATTGCATGAGTTTAAGACCAGCCAAGACTACATAGTGAGTTCAGGACCAGCCTGGGCTACATGCTGATTCCTAGTATCAAAGAAAACAAAGAGAGAGGAGATACACAGCTGAAAGTGCCAGAATTCTAATTCTCTATAGTAGTGTAAAATATTACATACAGAAATGAAATATTTATATCCACTGATAATTACCTTTTAATTCTAATGTTTTAGGTAGCTATAACTTTAAGAACTGAACATCTTACAAATAGTTATAACTTTCTTTTCTGTTTCCTCTTCTCTTCCTCCACCTCTACTTCTTCCCTTTCCCCTCCCCTGCTTTTCCCACTTCTGCTTCTTCCTCTGAGACAGCCAGTTCTCACTCACCTTTGTGTGTAATCAGTGTGATTTTTAACTGTCTGCACTGTTGAGCATCCCCTCCATAGTCATTGCATTTACTCTACTGCCTTCCACTGATAGTAAAAGGGGAAACATATTGTCACCATGCAATCACTTTTCTTTCATTATGACAATGAACTAAAATGCAGCTACACACTTTCTCTTAAGTCTTCTCTCTTTAATATCAAAGATTAATGTCAAAAACATAAAGATGACTTGATAAGAAACATATTTACAATGATATGATAACATCTCCATAAATTTTATCACTCAAATCTGGTAGAAGCTCCAATGGGTCAGATGTTCATCTTGTCCCCTTGCCATGTCCTCAGCACTTGGATTTTGTCCACTGGGTAATAGAAGTTAAATTCATATTTAATAAAAATGCAGTGAATATTTTTGCTGTACTTTAGAATATTTAACTCTGTTGTGGAATACAAAAAATAAGATGAATATGTCAGGCATTGATACTGAATAATTTACCACTTGATAATGCATGGGAAAACTTCATGGGCTGTGTTAGGTAAAGATAATGAATAAATAAGGAGCTTTTGAAACAGGCAGAACTTATGTGTCCTTTTTAGATGTGTCAGTCAGAGTTCTCCAGAAACAGACCAATATGATAGATGTGGATATAGGTCCAGATGTGAAAAGAAATTTGTAAAGGAAATGAGCTCACATGATGATAGAGGCTGAGAAGTTTCATGAAGGCCATTTGTAAGCTGGATAACCTTGGATGCCAGGAGCATGGGACAGTACAAATCCAAAAACCTTAGACAGAGCA